TGTGTGTGTGTGTGTGTGTGTGTGTGTGTGTGTGTGTGTTGTAAAATGGCTAAAACCCAATAGAAATGCTTAGGTTTCTTTATGTTTAGGACCAAGGTTGAGGTTAATTTTAGAGTATATGGTCAGGGTTAGGCTATAAAGTCTAAAAAACATGAATGGAAGTCAATGGAAGGTCCCCACGGGGTCGAGAAACAAACATATGTGTGTGTGAATATGTTAGGTATAGACTCTGAGCCCACCTGTGAGTAGCTTGTTGATCTGGAGTCTGATCTGGGGTCCCTCCCAGATGCCGGGGATCCCCCCTCCTTCTGACTCCCACCAGAGGAGGAGTCGGAGCAGCTACTGTGGACTGAGGGAGACGTGGTTGCATCAAAACACAGCCTCAAAATAGAACAGATCTGCAGTGTCTTCAATACTTTTTTTTTCTTTTTCAGCTGAAAGGGGGTGGAGAAATATGTCAGAATAGTCTTCCTGTTTAGCATGTGTGGGTCATTTACGTGCATTTTGTGCACACATTCAAATATGTTGTTTTAGTTCTGTATAAAAATAGGGGGAAAAAATGAAGAGGAGTGAGAATGAATTAGCCTTTTCTGTTGCTCAGTCAGTTTTTAACGGCAGCTTCTGTCCCTGAGGAGGATCCGCCGCCTGAAATCCTGTCACTGAGCCCCCTGCTGAGCAGAGGCTGTATTACACCAAGGCCCCGGGGTCTTCAGAGACAGAATCAGAGTCTGGAGTCTGAGGACTTGGACTTCAGATGGAGTATTTCTTACAAATCTGTGACGGCTTAACGGTGTGGACAAACGCTCCCCGAGATGTTTACCCAGCATCAGTTTTCTCCAGTCCGCCTCTCCTCACTCTCTCTGCTTGATTCCCAACATTTTAAGAACAGATTTATCTGTGTACTCAGCRTGTTTGGAAGGAGCTGGAGCAATTCTGCTTTTAATTATTCTGAAACGACGAGTCCTTCCCCAGACATTTAACAGTTTTTAGCCATTTTTACTATTATTTTTATTGAGATGAATTGTTTTACTGTCTCAAGCCTGAACAAGTGTTTTCTACATCAGAGGTTCCCAAACTTTTTATCTTCTGACCCACAAAATATCCATGGCAAAAACTTGTGACCCCAAATATTACTGGTCTGAGTACACGAACTTTGTTAATAACCCTAAAAACACAGGCTTTTTGACAATCTAAACAGTTTGTACACAAATATAAATACTTATTTATACTTTTTTGTGTTTTTGTAATAGTTATAGGGAAAATATTACATCAGCAATTATTTTGTTACCCTTTAAATTTATTTCTGGAGATTATCCAAGGTGCTTCATGACCCATAATTGGGTCCCAAGCCCAACTTTGGGAACCAAAGTGCAGTGGTTCCCAAACTTTTCAGCTTTTGACCCACAAAATAACAGTAGCAGAGACCTGTGCCCACAGCTATTTTTGGATGATAAACATTTGTATCAGGTCAACTAAACATGGGCATAGTAACAATATTTTTATACTACATTTATCCATTTTAAATACACTAACCTCACTCCTTTGTAACAACTAAGGCAAAAATGTAACTAATTCAGAAAATCTTTTCAGGACCCCACCTTGATGTTTCGGGACCCCACKTTGGGTCCCGACCCCAACTTTGGGAAACACTGCTCTACAAGACCTGAAACCAAATATCTGTTGCTTCTCTGGAAGTTAGGCAAGAAAATGAACACCGCAGTTTGAACATGTGCTCAACGCAGAGCTTATCTGTTAGCATCTTATTCAGCTGTTTGATGGAGACAAAAGAGGCTACACTCTGCTAAAATAGTAACTGTGCTCAATCAGCTAAACTAAGTTAGGATGTGATAAACTCAATTAAACAAAAAGAGAATAAATTAAACTGAACCTACAGTAACTAAAGATCATCTCATCTAAACTCGACTCAACTAAACTTAAACTAAATAAATCAGAATAAGCAGAACTAAACCATAATAACATTAACTAAATTAAACTAGGTTTATCTCAACTCAAACTAAGTTATGTTAAACTAAACCAAATTTCAACTTGAGCTAAACTGGCCGAAATTAGGCCAGACTAAGATTAACTAACTAACTAAAAAAAAAATCTAATTAGGTTTGGCTCAACTCAAACCAAACTGAATTAAAATAAAGTAAACCGAACTACAGTTAATTTAAACTCCAACTTAACAAAAACTAAATAAATTAAGCCAAGCTGAGATGAGCTAAACTACAGTAAATCAAACTGAACTCAAATTAAATTAAGACTCTAAAAATCTTGTGGATTTATTAAAAAAATTATGACAAATGTTTCCACAACTGAACTGAGTTAATGTAAAGCACTTACTTTACATTTACTAAAAGTAAATGCAAAGTACTTTTACTTTATTTACTTATAGTAAATACAAAGTACATTTACTTACATTTACTTATAGTTAATGCAAAGAACATTTACTTAAAAATAAATAAAAAGTACATGTATTTACATTTACTTATAGTAAATACAAACTACATTTTTTTTTACATTTACTTAAGTAAATGTACTTTGTATTTACCTTACATAAATGTAAATAAATGTACTTTGTATTTACTTTAGTAAATGTGTTACCTTTACCCAATTCAGTTGAGTGGAAACAGTTGACACACTTTTTTAAAATAAAATCCACTTCTTCAGTTTGTTAAGTGTAAATTAAATTTAGTTTTACTGAGTTCATGCTAAACTAAACTAAACTAAACTGAACTAAACTAAACTAAACTAAACTAAACTAAACTAAACTAAACTAAACTAAACTAAACTAAACAGTTGAACTAAGTTAAAGATTTAAACTCAAACTAACCTGACTGTAAATGAATTAGGATAAGCTAAATACACATTGTTTAGCTCAATATATACTAAATTAAACTCAATTTAAGTAAACTAAAAAGGTTTGGTTCAACTCAAACTAAACTTAATGAAGATTAACTAAATCAAATTTATTTGTGTATAATGCTAAAATTTTACCAAAAAAATCCATAAAGTTTGCTTTGAATACACACTGGAGCAAACTTTGACTTTTTTTCTCAGACAATTAAAATTTGTTGCAGGATTTCTCCCTCGCATAGGTTAGCATTTAAACAACTTTTTTTTAAATTTTTTTTGTCAGAGGAAAATCTTGGGGGATGGGGGGTTCTCATGGAGATGGAAAGAAGACGTTAGGTGAAGGTTCACTTATAGTCCRTTTTGCTAATTTAACTGGTCATGCCTCTGGGAGTGGCTGTTTTTCAGGGACATGTGGAACTGGAAGTTCTACAGCCACAAAACACCCACAATTGTCCCCAAATATTCAAAAGGCTGAAAAATCCTGAAGTCTATGAAATTAAGGGTAGTATTGTACAAGACATTTAGATTTTTATATATATTTTTAAGCACAAAAAATGGGTAATTAAATGAAAAGATATTCTGACTATGTGCTGACTGAACTAATGTTTTTCTGAATTCGTTCTCATCGCCTCCATTAGGCAGAAAAAAACAGGCATGTTTAAAAATCAACTCACTGCATCCAACCAGCRTTTAAAGGAAATGAAAACAGCATGAAGGTTGTTTTGAACTAACATTTTAATTAAAGAGCAATAAGTAAAGACAAAGATCAACCTAAAGTTCAAAGTSAAATGTAATTTAATATTATTCAAACTGCTAATACTTGTCCAAGTTTTGTCTTAAATATCACCAATTCATCTGAGGTGGGAGGAAAATCTAATTAAAATCATCTGTGTGCAAATCAATAAAATCAGACTTCAGTTATGGTTTATTTGCTTTTTAAAAAAAAAWGTTGGAGATAATATCAGCCCTGCTGACAGCAGAGTCTACAATTAAACGTGTTTAGATGCTGCCTTTAAAGATATTCCCTCCTCTGGAACTTTAACACATTTTATCACTTCATGAACATAAACTTCTAAATATTCCACTCATTTTGTATATGTCTGATCTACACAAAGTAGCTGTAGTGAAGTGGAAGTAAAGAATACATGTTTTTTACATCTGTTACAAAAAAATGTTTTGTCAGTGATTAAACAGCATCATGAAGACCAAGGAAYACACCAGGCAGGCCAAGAGTTACRTTATAAAACAGTAACGTGACAAAATGTTATAAAGTTCAAGAAGTTTAAATATTTTTTCCACTGTAGAGTTCAACATGAAACATGTTTGTGTTTCCAGTAACTTACAGCCTTTGGTCCTCTGAGGCTGAAAATCAGCTTCAGCTGAGGGAGGAGTATTTTGGTCCACGGTTCACTGTGTGCTGAAAAGGTTATTTTGTAAAAGTTGCTACCACAATACYGCATCAGCAAATTTGTAGGAAATACTTGATTTTATTACTCGACGTTAGACCAGTCTTTTGATGTTTAATTGTGTGAATGACTCCATTCAGAATGAAACTACTTGTAACTTTTCTCTAGCCTTTTACTACATTTAACTAGAAATTAGACACTKTTAGTTAGCATTTTGCTCATTTTAGCTAGTGTTTTTCAATTTTGAGACTTAAATAAAAATTTGCTGCTTTTTGAATTTCCATTAAGCATTCAGCTAGCCGAATTTTAACTAACAYTTTGTCTTTTTAGCATTCTGCCAGCTTTTGCTACTTTCTGCTTGTAGTTGCCATTTTGTGATGTTTAACTATGATATCACTACTTTTAGCTATTATTTTGCTGATTTTAGCTACTTTCAATTTTCCTTCCATCCTCTATTCCACCAGTAGCTGAACCCTAGACACGTCACAAGTTTTTCAATGGGCTATTTTTAGCATTTAACTAGYATTTTTATTCTTTTAGCATTCGACTTGCTGCTGTCAGCTCGTAGCTAGTAGCCTGCTACATTTAATTATTGTTTTGAAATTTTTAGCTTTTTTTTTTAATTACACTACTTTTACCTAAAATTTTGCTGGCCA